TGTATTGAAGGCTTGTCAAATTCCTGGATGTGAAAAAACACACTGAATTGGCAAGAAGTTCTTTACAGCTTTATTTGTACTTGTGGTTGGACTCTGGAGACATCAGCAATGAAGAATCCACACTACTTGGAACTAAAATAGCGACTAAGTCTGCTATGATAACACTGAACTCCAAAGCATGGTGGTCCATGGGCCATCTCATCTAACCTAGAGGCTTAGAGCTTCCTCCAGTTGTCACATGTTACTGGGTGTTCAGAGCTATGTCTTCCTTCAGTAAGGTATAGCTATGAGGAAACTTTTCTTCACGTTGCAGAAGAACTTGAAAAACACTTTTAGTCTTCAGTAGGTTGGGAGTAATGAGCTATCAATTAAACCTCAGAGAAATAGAGACATGAAAAGCTGCTGTGGTAGTTTTTAAAGACTTACAGTGGTTTGGGTGAACTGAAGTCTTCCTTTCATTAATTCTTTCCCTATAAAACTTACTGGATTACCATCTGCTGTCTCAGAATTTTTAGGGAAGTAAGAAGAGTTGAAAGCAGTGCAGAACTAATGCTAATAAACATTCTGTGTTGCTTTCAGCTGCATCCACATCGCTGCCATCCCTGGCCCCTAAACAGCTTAGTTGATCTGCTTTCCTCTCACTCCAGGTTCCCATCTGTTTGTTCCAGAGGCTACCTTGTTCTAAGAGGAGAGATGTATCTGCAGTAGTCTGTGCAGCAAGGTTTCTTTTTTTTTCCCTTGTAATTTGCTTCTTACTGCTGTTCACATTTCTTTCCTGTTTGGTTCAAGGCAATGTTCCAGAGATAATTCCCCTCAAAGTATTCTTTTTCTTCCAGACTGGAACACCAGGTCTTGTAATGCGTGAATACAGTTTTCAAGAATGTCCTCAAAAACATATCCAGTAGAATATATTAAATTTGCTGCCCCGTACCTTGTTGAATCTACACGTAGATTCAACCTTGCTGTATCTACACGTGGCAATTTTCATTGCTTCTGACTACAGTTAGCGTATCCCTCATTCTTTTGCGGTCCCCCTCGTCTTTTCTTGAGGTCTTTTTAAAAACATGTCTCAGTTGTGTATGATTGCTTTGAAACATCAGTCTGCTTGGAAAAGTGTTCCCAGTTTGGTCTCTTGAAAACCCACATGAATCTGCACAGATCCTTCATTGGTTATGTTGACTGGAAAATAAGAGCAGCAAATAACCATATGTACTTGGCTGTGCCACAGGTATGGTGAGAGCAAGTCTTGTTCCACTTTGGAAATCCTATAGCTTAGATATGTCTCTGATGGTGGATCTTTTTCCTTGAATTTGCTTCGCTGCTAATCTCCTGTCAAGAGGTAGTTATTTTTAAGGCTTTGAGCAGTTTTTACCAGATGGATTAATTTCTAATGCCACATAGTGCCAAAGACATCAGGTTAAGCATCATTTTCATTAGGGGAGAACAACTGCTCTGTAGCATCAGGCAAGACCAACCTCCTGTGGTTAAGCCAATGCTCATGGATATCACGGAATTATTATTTTTTTCTTTGAGTAATTGCGGCAATAAGGCCCTGAGGAAAGAGCATCCTCTGTCATCCGAAAAATGTTTTGGTAGCTCAGCTCCAAGTCTCTTAACTGCAGAGTGCTTCTTTGGAGCATGTAAAGTTGCTGAGTATGGCAGGAGAGATATTCCTCAGAGCCTAATTTTCTTGTTCACTGATACGCGGGACAAACTTGTTCAAAAAGTTTTGGGCTGCAAGCAGATACTTTTTTTTTTCTTCTTCTTCAGGCTAGAATATATATACTTGGGGTTCCAAATGCTTCAGACTGAATCAGTCAGGTTTTGTCAGCTGCTTTCTAGTGACAGCACCTCCTTCATTCTCCCAAGGAAGGTGTACTGGGATGCATGGCTTCCTGCTGTTTTCAGAAGCTTGAAATACATCGGGTTCTAAACAGGGACCTTGTGATGCCTACATGTCACTGCTGATCATTTCCATTCTGCTGTGGTAGTTGGGAATTGCTAGTTGTCTTAAGAGCCAACCTCACAGTGCTGATATGCACTGACACAGGTGTGAAAGCTTTGCATCAGTAAAGAACTCCCCCACTCTGCACCCAGCTGCTTCTTCCTGTGTCTGCTGAGAGCTCCAGCCTGTATGACTGGATGCTGCTTTGGTACTGGCAGCTAAACCATATCTTTGCTGAAGATCACTGCAGCTGATCAAGATACTTCTTTCTAAGCAAGAGAGGTTTTTGTGAAAGAGTAATTTCCTCAGTATTCACAGCCTCCAAAGGCAGGCTTTATTTCAGCTTGCTTTCTGAAGCAACAAGTATTAGAGATGGGAGAGCCCCATGTGAATGAGAAGGAATTAATGTTTCAAAACTGGTTTTGTATTGCTTTCTGAAGCGATGCTAATGTGTGTATAATGTGAGTGTAATCCCTATATTTTAAAAAAGAAAGAAAAAGAGTTGGGTTTTTTTTTCTTTTTTTGTGGGGATAGCTGAACAGATGACTAGAAAAATCGTATTTCCAGATGGGGAGCATAAACTCCACTGTAGCTATGAGATGGTTGGCTCTCTCAGCAGATTTGGAGAAAATGTGTTTCCATATATAGATTCATCAGTATCTCAATCATTTGCTTGGAAAAACAGCTTCCTCAATAGAAGTGCTTAAATGTTAATTTATGTTCTGCTTTTGGCTGTGCTAGAGTTAATTTTCTTCATAACAGCTACAATGGTGCTATGTTTTTTGAGTTTGTCATGAAAACAGTGTTGATAATGCACCATGTCTTGTTTATTGCTGAGCAGAGCTTGCACAGTCAGGGCCTTTTCTGCACCTCACCCTACCCCACCAGTGAGTAGGCTGGGGCTGCTCAAGGAGTTGGGAGGGGACATAGCCAGGACAGCTGACCCCAGCTGACCCAAGGGATATCCGATACCATATGGCATCATGCTCAGCATATAATAAGGGGAGAAGAAGGAGGAAAGGTAGTGCATTCAGAATGATGCCGTTTGTCTTCCCAAGTAACCCTTACATGTGATGGAGCCCTGCTTTCCTTTAGATGGCTGAACACCTGCCTGATGATGGGAAGCAGTAAATGAATTTGTTTTGTGTTGCTTGTGTGCATGGCTTTTCCTTGACCTATTAAACTGTCTTTATCTCAACCCACAAGTTGTCTTAATTCTACCTTCCCTATTCTCTCCCCCATCCCACTGGGGGAGAGTGAGCAAGTGTCTGTTTGGAGCTTAGCTGCCTACCAGCATTAAACCATGACATTTAGTAACAGCTCTACTGGAGTTCATTAAAATGCTGCAATATTAGTAGCAGTACTCAGGGAAAGGATGCAGGATAGACCTCTAGGATAAGTTGCTTTAGGGTCCAAGATCTGCAAAGGGCAGTTAATTTCACCTTATTATATTGCTTGTTTCTACCTACTTTCTCTAGTTGTCCTCTGAGGAGAGTAATTGTGGATTTTGTTTTTCTAGCTGTAGAATATCCTGGCAAGGGAATCTCATGAAAAGAATGTAGTAACATGTCAGTGTCTGTTTGTCTTTGAACAGCAGTCTTAACCCATAACTTTCAAAATTGATTGTGCTTGCTTGCTTGCTTACTTGATGGAGGGCATCGCTGCAGCTTGTCACAGGTATTTTCATGTCACTGAATGATGGATAAGTATAGAAAAACTAACATTTAGGCTTCACAAGCTTTCTGCACAAGTATCTCTTCAGGCTTACACCTTACTGTAGGCCTTTCATAAGGTCACTGATTTTTATGATATTATGATTATTCAAGAGATTGGACACAAGCAAAAAATTGTTCACGTATGCTAGTAAGAGTTAAAAAAAAATGTCTAACAAGACATTCTCCCCCATAATCAGTTATTTATGTGACTACTGAAGCATATCATCAAGATACACATGGAGACAAATTTTGACCATCAGGGACTGGTGGCTCAAGGATGAAGGTGATTTTATTCAGTAGTAAAGGAAAGCAATTTATTGAAGACAGTTACCTGATGATAGTATGTTCTTCTGTTAGGCTGCAGTAGGAGCCGTTTTTATAACATTGTAAGTCCTTTTCTCTTGACAAAATTACTTTGTTAAGAACCTGCACGGACTTGCTTATATGGTCTCCATACACTGTATATTAAACTTAAAATTGGAGTCTAGAGAGCATGTTTTTCTTCAATTCTCTCTTCTTTTTTTTTTTTCTTTTTGTAACCCTCCTCCTCCCATCCCACAATATCTGCTTGACTGAGTAGAATTCATGAAACTGGGGATGTTTGCAATAGATAAAAACTTTCTTAGTATTATTAGATATTTTCATTTAATATGTAATTTCAAGTGTTTGAGATATGCATGCATACATATACTCATCAACAAAGCTATCATCTTTATATTATTTGCATATATTATTTTTCTTTAATCAAGTGATGCTTGCATTGAGTAACTAGTACCAGATTGCCAGTGTCGTCAGAAAGGGGCCCATAAGAGGAAGAGGCGTATAAGAATACTGCTAATTCTGTAGAAATAATTGGGTTACCATGTGTTTCTGCTCTTGCCTGCTTCTAGTTTTTCTATGTGATTGAATAGTTGCAGCTTACTGATTTTAACGAGTGATTCAATTGCAGTGCCTCTGTGCCAGAAGAGACCTGCATTTTGAGCAGCCTTATAACACTTGTGTAGGAAGGTTTTACAAGAAATTTAAGAAATTAATATGTGTGTTTAGTCTGTAAATGTACTGCATAAATTTATTGCCAAAACGTATTCAAATAAAAGGCTCTAAATGTAACCTTGCTAGTGAACTCTGGGGTTTTGAAGCTGCTTTTCTGACTGAAGTTTAGGACTCTTAATGTACTATTTTCAATTTTGCCTGTGAGAGGTATGGACTACTGAAGACAGACTTGCATGAAATAGGAGGGAAACTATCTTATATCAATTAGTTGGGTTTTTTAAAGTCTCCAGTTATTTTTAAAACACTACATTTCTTTCTGTTTAAAATATTTTTTTCTTACCCCACAGTGTTCATAGGTAAAGTACTGAAAAGACTCTATGCTGAAACGTCACCATCTTCTCTTGTGCATACTTTGAGTGGAAAAGAGGAGGTAGTTCTTGGAAATCTGGGCTCAGAATCCAGTGTTCAGACTTCAGCAGATGCTAGCACATCAACTGATACATCCTGCAAATCAGTTCAAGGTGAGACTACATAGTCTTTTTCTGATAATACACTTTCAAATATAATTACTTGTCATGAGAACAGTGTAGTATCTACTTTTTTAATCTATTAGTACCAACAGAAAAACTTGAATACAAGCTCTAGTGGTACTTAATACCTAAAATACTTGAGGTCAGCGCTGAAGTCCTGTGAAAGACAAGAAACAGTGTATATGCATGAACGCAGCATTCAGCAGCAGCTAATATGAAACTTCAGTATAACCTATAATGGTCTCTGGTGAAATGTCTGTGGAATACTGAGAAAATTACTCATACTGGAAAAACTCGGCTATTAGAGATACTCCTAAACATTGGTGGGAATACGTGATCCAGTGCTTTGTCTTGCCCTCATGTGGCAACCGAAGGCCCATGGAGTGCGTAACCCCAACAGGAGTCAAATATCAGTTCAGGCACTATGTTCTGTTAGGGTATGTGCCCTGCTGAAGAGCATTATTTTATGTCTGTTTACACAAAGTGGTACATGAATATTTTGATAAATAGAAGACCTTAGATAAGTAGAAGACCTTTTTCAAATGGGTTGTAAAATGTGGATGCTATGCTAAAAGATGGAGGATTTGCAAAATGAAGTAGCTGTGTTATTACTTGTGGGTGAAAGGCTCTGTGCACCAAGTATAGAAGTGTGAGTTGCTTTGTGTTGCAGTTCATCTAAACCCAAATTTTGCCAATACTGAAAGAGGTCGTTAAACTGGCTTGAAATAAAAAGGTGTGTTTCATGATAGTATAAAAAGCTTTCCTTACAAACAAACAAAAATTGCAAATGTGACCCAGGACAGGAGACTAAAGTCCTGAAAGAAGTGAGCAAAATGGGTGGTGGGATTAGAACCCTATACTACATAAGAACAGATACTTGTCTTGTGCAGGGATCCGCTTGGTAGCATCGGATGGAGAACTTCTCTGAATTACAAAGGAACTCTGAAGAGCTGCTTGATCTTCAAGAATAACCTTCTCAAAGTACAAGAATGGCTCATTTTGATATGCAGAAAACTAAGCAATTGTGGCAGGATGCCTGACTGAGCTCAGATGTGTCAGGGAACAGCATGGAGAAAGTGAGGTAACACTAGCTGGGGCAAGACAGGCACAGCAGCTGTGCCAGCACCATGGAAGCAGTCCTACGGTACCTGAAAAAGGACAGCAGAGCATGTCTGATAACAGTAACCAGGCTCAGCAGCTGTCCCATGACAGCAGGCAAGTCTATAGTGACAAGGCAGGTCCACTGTCAAACCACTGTGGGAAGTCTGTATCAGTGTGCATCAATTAGGGTGTATGCCCAGGCACAGGCATGGCTGCAGTCTAGCTCAGACTGGGAGCTGCTTAAAAGGAGCTCCTGAGTGATGTGAGGTGAGCCCTTTTGGAGGTGGCTTCTTAGAGGTCTTTCATATGCAGCTCTTTCTTCACAACAGTCTGGATGAATAACTCTCTGATATCAGAGACCGCCCATAAGAACAGGCAGTTAAGAAGGAGTTCTGGGCCCTTACAACACAAAAGAAGTACAGAGAAGGTGAAAGTGGGTATTTATTAGCTACCAAAGAAAAATACAGAGATGTTGCCTGAGTATGCTGGAATGGAGTTATGAAGGCCAGAGGTCAGCTGGAGTTGAAACTCATAAGGGGGTGTAGGAGCAAACAAGAAGGGGGGGGGGGGGGGGATAAATTTTCTGAATATTTTATTTTTATATATAATATTATATATTATATTTTGTTTTTTATACCTGGTTCCTAGTACAATAGTCAAGTTAATTAAACAAAAGCATTTGATTCAGAATCCTAATACAGGTAAAAATGTAGCTCATGGGAAAGGGAACAAACATAGAGAAAAAAGAACAGTTGCATGTTTAGGATTGTCACAGTGAAGCAACGAGAATGTTCTTAAGATTAACAGCAAACTGACTGAGCTTGTTTTCTGCTGGAGGCAAGCAAATCCTATGGTAGTACAGAAGGGGTTCTGCCTTGAGTGATGTTCTACAAATGTATACTTAAAAAAAAACAAAAAAAAAGAATGCCTTGAAGAGGGTTGCAGTGATAAACTTGTAGGAAAAAGAGAAATCGGTTACCACCTACGAAACCAACAGATAATTTAACTGTTCTTCTCTGGCTGTGGTTTCATTTAAATTTAAGGAGGTCCTGCGTGAATAGTCATTTACACATTGTGATTTTATAGCATTAGGCACTGAAAATATGTCTTTAGTGAAAAGCTGATAAGATTTGGAGCAATGAGCTCTGTGGTCTTGCATGAGGAAAAACATGAAGGCATTGACTGAATTTTTTTTATCATGTAGTATTTTAAGTAACTTTTCTTGTACACCAAAAGTTATAGGCATAATTAGGAAACAGCTAATCATTTCAGTAGCAGTAGTCTAAGATGGACAATGGAAAATTAGGTCATTTTTGTGTGTGGGTACAAGTTCCTTTCTAGTTTGTAAGTGATTACTTCAGTCCTACAAAATGTACTGAATAATTTAATTTAGTGTCAATAAGAAACTAGGATTTCACAGTATCACAGTATCACAGTATGTTAGAGATTGGAAGGGACCTCAAAAGATCATCTAGTCCAATCCCCCTGCCGGAGCAGGAACACCTAGATAAGGTTACACAGGAACGTGTCCAGGCGGGTTTTGAATGTCTCCAAAGAAGGAGATTCCACAACCTCCCTGGGCAGCCTGTTCCAGTGTTCCGTCACCCTCACTGAGAAGAAGTTTCTTCTCAGGTTTAAGTGGAACCTCTTGTGCTCCAATTTGTACCCATTACCCCTTGTCCTTTCATTGTTTGCCACTGAGAAGAGCCTGGCTCCATCCTCGTGACACTCCCCCTTTATATATTTATATACACTAATAAGGTCACCCCTCAATCTCCTCTTCTCCAAACTATAGAGACCCAGCTCCCTCAGTCTTTCCTCATAAGGGAGATGCTCCACTCCCTTAATCATCTTAGTTGCCCTGCGCTGGACTCTCTCCAGCAGGTCCCTGTCCTTTTTAAACTGAGGGGCCCAGAACTGGACACAATATTCCAGATGAGGTCTCACCAGGGCAGAGTAGAGGGGAAGGAGGACCTCTCTCGACCTACTAACCACCCCCCTTCTAATACAACCCAGGATGCCATTGGCCTTCTTGGCCACAAGGGCACAGTGTCGGCTCATGGTCACCCTGTCATCCACCAGGACCCCCAGGTCCCTCTCCCCTACACTGCTCTCTAACAGGTCGTTCCCCAGCCTATACTGGAACCTGGGGTTGTTCCTGCCCAGATGCAGGACTCTACACTTTCCCTTGTTATATTTCATCAAGTTATTCCCCGCCCAGCTCTCCAGCCTGTCCAGGTCCCTCTGGATGGCAGCACAGCCTTCTGGCATGTCGGCCACCCCTCCCAGCTTAGTGTCATCAGCAAACTTGCTGATAGTACACTCAATTCCCTCATCTAAATCGTTGATGAATATATTAAATAATACTGGTCCCAGTACCGACCCTTGAGGCACTCCACTAGATACAGGCCTCCAACTAGACTCCGCCCCATAGACTACAACTCTCTGGCTTCTCTCCTTCAGCCAGTTCACAGTCCACCTCACTACCCGATCATCCAGACCACACTTCCTCAATTTAGCCGCAAGGATGCTGTGGGAGACCGTGTCAAACACTTTGCTGAAGTCAAGGTAGACCACATCCACCGCTCTACCATCATCCATCCACCGTGTTATTTCCTCATAAAAGGCTGCGAGATTGGTCAAGCACGACTTCCCCTTGGTGAAGCCATGTTGACTGCCCCTCATAACCCTCTTATCCTTGATATGCCTTGAGATGGCACCAAGGATAAGGTGTTCCATCACTTTCCCAGGAATGGAGGTGAGGCTAACCGGTCTATAGTTACCTGGGTCCTCCTTCTTGCCCTTTTTGAAGACAGGAGTGACATTTGCTTTCCTCCAGTCCTCAGGCACCTCTCCTGTTTCCCAAGACTTGGTAAAGATGATGGAGAGCGGTCTAGCAATGACCTCAGCCAGTTCCCCCAGCACCCGCGGGTGCATCCCATCTGGACCCATGGATTTATGGATATCCAGATTGCTCAACTGGTCTTTAACCCATTCCTCATCGACTAAGGCAGACCGCTCCGTTGACCTATCATCATCCGAGGTCTCAGCGGTACAGGGCTCTTCAGGACTGCCCCTGGCAGAGTAGACAGAGACAAAGAAGTCATTCAGTAACTCTGCCATCTCTGTATCTTCTGTCACCAGGGCACCCGTCCCGTTCATCAGCGGGCCTACATTGCCTCTGGTGTTAGTTTTACCTGCCATGTATTTGAAAAAGCTTTCTGCTGTCCTTGACCCCTCTCGCCAGCTTTAATTCCAAGGAGGCCTTAGCCATCCTAGCAGCTTTCCTACATCCTCTAGCAGCAGCCTTATATTCTTCCCAAGTGGCCAGCCCTTCCTTCCATGACCTGTAAACTCTCCTCTTCCACTTGAGCATACCGAGCTATTCCCTATTTAGCCACGCAGGTCTCCTGACCCTCTTCCTTGACTTCCTACGTGTCGGGATGCTCCAATCTTGAGCTCGGAAAAAGCAGTCCTTGAAAAGAAGTTCTTTGAAAAGAAGTTAAGTCCAAGTATTTTCTAGGATTAAGTAACAATTTTTAGTATAACTCATCACAATGTTCTACTTGCCTTTAACAGTTATTTTCAAACTGTGAAAATACCATTACTGATTTGCATGAGTTAACACCCCCGAGAGTCTGATATTTATTGAAATGCAGTTTGCAGCATTGCTGTTGAAGCATAAAAGGGACTTAAGCCCATAAAATTTAAAGACCATAATCTGATATCCTGTGAATATTTGCATTTATGTTCCCTTTTTGAGATCAAGTTGAAGTTGAGGTGCTTAAGTATATAGAAGATCAGGACCCATGCTAGTGACTGGTTCTAATTTAATTTTGGAAGATCAATAATTTAGTATCAGAAAGGGTTGTTCCGTAAAGTTCCTCAGA